TGAATAATGCGCGAAAAGAATTCAGTCTTCCGCGTTGCTGAAACAAAATAATAAATTTCGGAAATCTTTGAAATAATTTCAGACGACGATACAGACTGTTTACAAATTTTTCGAGAAATTATGCGCGCAAGGGTTAACGTCGCGAGGGCAGATCTTCCGATATAATGTTCAGTAAAGAAATGAAGAGAATCGAAAACGTGTTTGGTACAGTTATAGTTCGTGCGAAATTTGTCAGGGGAACAAGTCCCGACTGTCGATTATCTGTTCACGCGAAAAAAACACCGGTGTGCTTTATAAGGTAGATCGACCAATCTTGGACGCGCGTTCGCGTCACGGAGCGCATTCGACGCCGAATTACGCGCGAAAGCGATTATTTGCGTCGAGGCACGTGTCGTCGCCGCGCCGGTTCAAATGTCGCGATCGCCGCTGAAAGGATAGGAAGTTCTCGGTAACAGGTCCAGATCTATCTAAATTGAATTATTCGCTAACGAAGTCATGAATCTTTGCGCCGGCCGACCGCCACGGACTACGACGGACAGTTCATTGTCTCCCGATGATCGCCCCGACGCGGTTGATCGACCATGACGGAATAAATGTAAATATGTATCCTTCGTGTACCGCGAGCTAACATATTGCAGATAGATAACGGCTTGTTATGGGCCGTTTATCTGGACGTTTTAAACGGTTCAATGCGGTAATTAGCGAGAATATTGCGATATTTGAAGAGCCGCGGACGGCTCGATTGGTTCCCAAGACGGTGTGTTCAAGATCAGTTAACAGTAATTGCATAATTGCGCGGATCTGAATACGGTTCGGCTTTTACGCCGATAATGACCACGGGTTCTGAGTTGTTAATAGGGAGTCAAAGAGCTTCCGCAGATTCTCACGACGGCCGCCGAGAGTTGCATTTAAGCTGTTGAATGCTGTTTTCATTGCCACCGCGACAGACATAAAAGTCGCTTGTTTTTTCTTTCGAGAAATGACAGCTCAGCTGCTGATTCCTCCGAATGAGAAAACTTACTCGGTTTGTAACCACTTATATGAAATGATTAATATTTTGTTTTGTTTAATGTTCATCTATTCATTTA